CATGACTCCCTTATTCCTCTCGCCGTCCGGTTTCTGAGGTCCCGCGTGCTCCCGTCGGGTCCCATCGTTATCCCACCGTTATCCCACCGGGGTTCCTGAGCAGGAGACAGTGTCTGCAGCGAGGATGTCAGAGCCAGCCGGAGGTTCTCAGACCCAAGTGCCGTCCCCACTCTCCTGGGCCTTATTCTCCCTCTGAGGAATAGAATTCCTGTTACAGACAGTAGTTGATTCACGAGTAGAATTGCAGGTTCAAGCATTGGTCTAATTGTTGAGCCACCTTTGGGGATCTTCTAGTGTGAGTTTTAGTTCCCTTTTTAAACTCCATACTTAGGAATTGAATATGGGAGCACTGAGGAGTCCTGTCCACCCCCAAGAGGAACCTCCACGAGGACTAACGTAACTACGGTTTCCCTTCATTTACAGAAGGAAAGGGCAAGTTTTGAAGATCCGTTTTTCCTTGCTCTAGCTCCTCTTTCATTCTAGGCACAGGTGGGTAATGCAAAAGTCCAGTGGTTGAGGCTGCTGACAGTGGCTCAGATTGTGGTGCAGACCATGAGAGCGGGGTGGCTATGTCCTCTCCAGGGCTCCAACATAGAAGGGGAGGGAACGAAGCCGCATCCCATGACTGGGACCACGGCGGAGAGAATAAAGTCCAGCAGCTGCGTCATCCTTTGGGAGTGGATAAGAGGGGGGATGAAGGCGGCTGACGCTGAGGTGGCTGCTCCACCCCACGTAGCGCTGAGCCCGCCCCGCCTGATGTGCCCGCGCTGGTAGGGTTGACCCTGTTATGCTGCAGAATATAAGTAGGTGAAGAGGGGATCCCATTCATTACTCCCTTTCCTCTCCCTGTTCTGACGTAACGCGCACTCATTAAACCCCTCCAGCACAGGACATAAGCAACCTCCTTTCAGGAGGCACAGATTTGTCATTAATATTTTCCATCAAAAGCTGACAGACCCAGACTTCATTGGACCTTAACGTGAAGAGGCTGCAAACAGGTTTTGGGGTAACTTTGAAAGCACATTTTTCCATTTCTTGTGTATTTGTGTTATGAATTCTCTCACTGCTGTTCCAGTGTGGGATCACTTCCCCCGAGGGACTACTTGGAAGAAATTTACTTTTAGTTTCTTTTTCTTAAAGCTGTTTTTTTTTTTTTTTTTTTTTTTTTTTTT